CAACGAGGCGGGCGTGGCCCAGCCAGCCAGGCCTGCTGACCCGCCCGCTCGCCCGCCAGCGAAAATTCGCAGCTCTTGAAAAAGTCCCTCGCCCAGCGCGCACGTGCCGGCCTGATCTCGGCCGACGTCCTCGGAGCCGCAGAGGCCGGGCATCGACGCTCGCGTACGTCGACTCGCACGGCATCCCCTCGCCTCTTCGCCGCCTCGCCGCCTCGCAACCTTCGCAAGGCTGACCTCCTGGACGCCTCCTAGGGCTGATGGTGGCGAGGTACCGATGCGTTTGCTGTCCGACGCTAGGGCACCTGGAAGCTGCGACTGGGGCGATCAGGGTCCGACGTTGACGCCATCTCGACCTGTCGTCGCGCTCGGGGAAGGCTGCACCCCGTCCCCGGCCGGCAACGTAACGGGGAGTCCGCCATCTCTGCTCCCGCTACTGATGCGTTACCAGGTTCGTCGAACTCGCTCCGATGGGCACGTCAGGACGAGCGAGGTCGTGCTGCGAGCGTGCGGGGCGAGTGCAAAGACTCGGGCACGTTGTTGGATCAGCCCCGGCCCGACCGGACCGCAGCACATCACCGTATTCGAGCCGCAGTTTGAGCAAGATCGACCACCGCAGTGCCGGGGTGGAGCTCGCCACGTCGCGACGTGATACGACGCTCGCTGCGCACAGTCCGACGAGGTCGGACGGCAGTGGAGGGTGGTGCGCGCTCGTCCATCGCGCTCGGTGGCAGCGCGAGACCTCGTGCAGGCCGGTACATCAGCACATGCTGTCGATCGCTCCCCAGCCGTGAGTCTGGATGAAGCGCCCAGCTGCGCATCGCTGCCTCGAGGTAGGCCACGGTATGCTAGCATCTAACCCGTGAACGACGACGTGGCAAAAAGGGGTGGGAAATTCGTCACGATATTCGAGGCAGGGCGGTGTGGCGCGGGCTGGACGCAGAGTTGGACAGCTCGGACCCGCACCGGCACACTACTCCTCCCTCACCCAGTCCCAGACCAGGGCCGGACCGATCCTCCTACCGCGGACGAGGACGACGTTGGACGCAGTACGATTCGAGAGGCGTCGCGGCATGTCGAGCGAGTGTCGTCCATGCGACCCGGTCCAGCGGCCAACGACCAGCTTGGCATGCGACCGGCTGGCATGCGATAGCCAAGCTTCACGGGCAAGACGACGCGGGAGAAGCATTGTATCGTCCCTAGCGGCCGCACCCCCATCCCAGTCTGCCACGACACCAGCTGGTATGGTCTACTCGAGCCCCGCCGCGAGGCCAGGTTCGAGCACGGGCAAGTCCCCGTGCACGCACCACCACTCCCCACCCCTGCACGACTCCATGCACGCACAGCACAAGACAACACCGTCGCGGCCTCGCCCAACACGCTCCTACGTCGGGAGCGCCAGGGCCCCGTGGACGTGACACCCACCTCATACTTCTTCCGCTCAGCGCACGAAAATCTGCCCGATCGAATCGCGACCGGGTCCATGCGCACCTCTTGGTTCTCACGTGGTCTGCATTGCTAGCGCGCTCCTCGCAGACACACGGTGGTCGGAAGCGAAAGCGAGGACGGATCGCGTGCTGCTAGGTTGCCTAGCTCTATGGCCTTGTGGCCGGAACGTCGGGTCCACGAGGCGTTTAGATGGCGGCGAGGCCTGGATGGCGCATTGGAGAGGGATGGCAGAGGCGGACGCAGTCAGCGGCTGTTTTCTTCCACACAGACAGTGCGCGGCTGGGCGATCAAGGTCGGCCGGCCAGCAGAGACGGCACGACGGCGCATCCGCCACCGCGCCACTAGGAGCGGACTGAGCTCGAGCGTCGATCGATCGATCGCAAGCTGGCCGCCGTCCGTCCGTCGCAGCATCGCACAGCGCCGCAGCCAAAGGCGTGCCGGTGCACTCCCGTCCCCCATTGCGTTCGCCTCGTCTCGAGCTCGATGAGACGCCGTGCAGCCTCTCGCCGACGACGACGCGGGTAGTCGAACAGCGCGAAGGCGGCGACAAGGACGGCGAGCCATGGTGCCGGTCATGCTGCCTACCGGCAGCTCTTCGATCGTGTACTCACTTCCAAACTTCTCCTCGTAGCCCGGCGTGGTCCACTTGCCCTTCTTGACCATCTCCTCGACCGTCTTGCCGATCTCGGGGCGGGCGGCGATGACGTCGTCGGTGGTGAGCTGGTTGAAGGGGCGAGCCTCCTCGATGTTCTTGAGGGTGGCCTTGAGGTCCTTGAGCTCGGCCTCGATCTTGGTGGCGGTGGCCTGAGCCTGCTCGGTCTGTGGTGTGCGGAGGCGGGGCGAGGAAGGGGTCAAGGTGGAGGTGGTGGGTCAGTCCGAGGTCGGTAGCACAAGTTGGCTCGAGAAGCCGCGCCCTCCGGTCTGTGACGGTCTGGCACGATGGCAGGATGCGCCGACATTGCGAGGTCGAGTTCGGCAGGTTCAGAAGATGGCTGCGGGCCAGAGCCGAGGCGGAGCGGCAAGGATCGGTGACTCGCGGCCGATGCTAGCTCTGCCAGCCTAGTTCCCCGACTCGAGCGCCAAACTTCGTCCAATGCCATCGTCCTCCTATGCCTGCGCCATGCCAAGTGGGGCAGCCCGCGAGGAGACGCAGCCAGTGCTGCTGCTGCTACTGCTCCTGCTGCTGCTACTGCTCCTGCTGCTGCTGCCGAGAGAAAGTGGAACGGAGGGCGGATCGGTCGCCTACGCACTGCCTTGGCCTCAAAGGCGTCGATGGCCTTGAGCTGGGCCTGGACGTCGTAGGTGACGGGCTTGAAGTCGTTGAGGATCTTCTTTGCCTGGTTGACGACGTCCTTGTTCTTGAGGACGGCGTCGTAGTGGGCAAAGTCGACGGTGGTGGACTGCTGCTTGAGCTGGTTGAGGGCGCGGCGGGCGTCCTCGTTCCTCTTTCGGAAGGCCGAGATCTGGGCGAGGGTGTTTTTGCCGAGGCCGAGCTGGGAGCTGACCTTGGCGAAGTCGACGGCGGCCCTGGATGCCATGGTGAAAGAGCGGTGGTGGCGGAGGTGGTGGTGGTGGTGGCGGTGGCGGTGGTGGTGGTGGCGACGAAGGTGATGACGAGGTGGTGACGATGCGGGGTAGGAAGGGTGCGAGCAGAGGCGCGAGATGGAGCTTCGAGGCGGGCCAGGCGACTTCGGAGAGTTGGCAGCGATGATGGCCAGCCGGCGCCTGGAAACCTCGAATTTCGCGCCTGGGCTGGCGTGCCCGGCCCCGCGCAAAGCCGCCGTGCCGCCCGCTCGCGCCCGATCACCGCCGAGGGGCCTAGCGCCAAGCTGGATGGCTTGGCTGGCTGGCGGGGGCGGTGCGTGCGCTGCCCCCTGCCTGGCCCGGCCTGCCCAGGGCCTGGCTCGACTCGACTCGACTCGACTCGACTCGACTCGATGCTGCCAAAATCCGATTCTCGATGCACCCGAAGCGCTCCGCACCTGCGTCCACCGTCTCGCTGTGGCCTGGGCTGATGGTAGGCTTGGCACGTCTTTGCCGGCGGCCCTGTGGCGGGCTGCGAGCGGGAGAAGAGGCCATGCCATGACCCAGCCTGCGCTGCTCGCCACCTTTGCTTGTTCGGCGGTGCCTGGCCAGGCCGGCTCTCTCTTGCCGGCGTTAGAAGCAAGTGCAGAGATGGGCACGGAGTCGATCCAGCATGGTCGAGGTCGACGCAGGCCAGGCCAGGCCAGGCCAGGCCAGGCAGGGCGGCGTGCATGGGCCGCCTGATTTGGGTCGAGGCCAGGGTCGGGCAGCCAGCCAGCCAGCCAGCCAGCCAGCCACAGCAGCCAGCCAGGCCAGGCCCAGACGCCGCATCTGAGCGCGCCCCTCGCAGCGCCAGACAGGGTGAGGCCCCAGCAGCTCAGGCTGGCCAGGCCCTCTGTCAAACTCCACTTTGGTGCCCGCTGCGCCCGGCCCCGCAGCCAGGCCTGGCCGCCCTACCGCCAAACCGCCTCTCGTCGACGGCGGCAGCGGCAATACCCACCACCACCACCACCACCACCACCACCACCACCATCACCCAGCCGTCCTCGTCTCCTCTTCCTCCTCCTCCGCTCGTCGTCACATCGATCATCGCCAGCACCGCAAGGGACTGCCTTCCGACACTCTGCCCCCCCCGCGTCGCCTTGCCCGCCGCACCACTCTGCGCGCTTGGCCAATCGCGCACGCCCCGCCCATCCCATCCCTCACACGTCGACCAGACCACGACTCACACGCAATCGCTAGCCGCCGCGCCGCGCCGCCCCGCTCCGCTCCCGCACCGCCCGACATGCTCTCCACGCCCGCCTACACCAACCTGATCAACGACCTCAACCGCGATGTCTTGAAGGCCAAACCCGCAGACCCGCTCCAGTTCTGCGCAAACTGGTTCAACGCCAGGCTCGAGGACCAGCGGCGGCAGCTCCTCGCCCAGACCTCGACAGACTCCCTCTCCCTCCGCTCTCCATCCGCCATCCCCCCGCGCAGCATCGCCCCCGGATCCACCTCGCCCACCCAGAGGACCTCGCTCTTTAGCACCGACCCCTTTTCCCAGCCCGCACCATCGGACCAGCACGGCGCCGCCGCCGCCACCTCGTCCCAATGGGCCCCCTCGGCCTCTCCTTCGGCCACCGCATCCTCTCCCTTCGCCGCCGCCGCCACCAACTTCCCGCCCGCCGCATCCTCGGGGGCAGCCTCGTCGCACGCGCCGTCCGAGTCCCCCGACAGCCACCTCAACGTGCCCTTCATCCCCGCCACGTTCAACCTCGGCCGGAGAACCTCGGTCTCTGCCGAGAGCATGGCCCCCTCGGCCGCCGGCGCCACCGACCCCAGCGTCGCCCTTCCAAAGACCGTCATCCCAAAGTCGGACGAGCAGATGGAGCGGATCCGCGGCTCCATCGGCGACAACCTCCTCTTCCGCAACCTCGAGCAGGACCAGTACCGCGACGTGCTCCTCGCAATGAAGGAGGTCAAGGTCGACGCCAACGTGCCCGTCATTGAGCAGGGCGCCCAGGGCGACTACTTCTACGTCGTCGAGAGCGGCACCCTCGACGTCTACATCCGCTCCACGGCCGAGTCGACCCAGAGCTCCGACGACGGCACGGGCCCCAACAGCTCGCTCGCCGCCCTGGGCGAGAAAAAGGTGTCGTACGGGCCCGGCTCGTCGTTTGGCGAGCTGGCGCTCCTCTACGCCCAGCCGCGCGCCGCCACCGTGCTCTCGACGTCGCCCTGCACGCTGTGGGCCCTGGACCGCGTCACGTTCCGCTCGATCCTGATGGAGACCAACTCGAGGAGGCGCGCCCTCTACGAAAAGTTCCTCAAGGACGTGCCGCTGTTTGAGCACCTCAGCGCCGCCGAGCGCGCCAAGGTCTCGGACAGCCTCGAGCCGAGGGACTATGCCATCGGCGAGCGCGTCATCACCCAGGGCGAGCGGGGCTCCGAGTTCTTCATCATCGTCGAGGGGGACGCCGAGGTGCGCAAGCGCAAGAGCCCAGAGGACGGCGGCCAGGAGGAGACGGTCGGCAAGCTGTCCCGGGGCGACTACTTTGGAGGTGAGTGGGCGAGCGAGACGCGGCGGCCCTGCCTGGCTGGAGGACTGACGGAAGGCCTCGCGGGCACGATCACTGACCTTTCTTTTGCCTCGTCCGTCTCCGTCCCTGTTCCTTTGGCCCTTCGACGACACGCAGAGCTGGCGCTGCTCAACAATGCGCCTCGAGCCGCCTCGGTGGTGGCGAGCGCGTCTTCGGTGACGTCGGACAAGCTTCGCGTCGTGACCATGTCGGAGCGCGCCTTCACCCGCCTGCTCGGGCCGCTGGCCGGCATCATGGGTCGCCACGCCAAGGAGACGTACGGCGGCGACTACGGCTTCGGCGCGCCGTCGATGGCGCCGCCGCCGCCGCTGCATGCCCATGCCGGCGTGGTGGCCATGTCGGACGACACGCCACATCCGATGGACTCGACGGCGACGCCCGGCCAGGGAGCCTGGTCTGCGCCGAATCCGTTTGCCGCGGCCGCTGCGGCGCCAGCGATGGGCGGGGCAGGGTTTGGCGGTCTACGCTCGCCCGATGCCTGAGGTCGCAATGGTCCCCCCCCCAGCTAACGGTACCGTAGAATCAGACCCGCACCGCGGCGCCGGCGCCGTCGCAGCGGCAATCCCTGCCGCCGCGCCCGTGGCCGAATACTACACTACAGTCTTCGATGATCAGCTCGTCGGCCGTTTGCCCGTCGGTCGTGTGCGTTTGGTGTCCGTCGGGATGTCTCCCCCCCTGCTCGCGCAAGCATGTGCGGCTCTTGATCATTGTCGTCGAGCGAAGCTTGGCGGGGCCTGTCAGGATGGTGGCGCGGGCTGCGGCCGAGCTGCTGGACCGGGACGGGCTGCGGCCGGGCGGGAACGAGGCTCTGTCCGAGGTATCATCTACTGTACAGTACCGATGCACAGCAAGGCGGTGAGCCAGTCTGCAGCGCAGCCAAGGTGAGTGGGGCCCTGGCCTAGAAGGTGTCGTCGTCGGGGCGTTCGTTGGTGGCGACGCACGTCGTAGCTGGGAGGCGCTCATCATTGATCGCCTCCGTCCCCCGGTCCCGGTGGGGGTTGGGTGAGGTTAGGTTGGGTTGGTGGAAGGCATCGACAGGGTGGCAACACACGTACGCGCACGGTGGTGGTGGTGGCCGGCGCGCTGGCTCAGCTTCGACTTACGGTGCGTGTGCGCAACCGCGCAGGGCCTGCACGTCGATGTCGCTGCAGCGGCCTAGCATCGCATCGCATCGCAGACGGATGCAGCTCGAGCCTAGGTAGAGGCTAGGTACAAGAGTCAGAGGCAGAGGCGACCGAGGTAGGTACAGAACGTGTGCGCGAATTCGAACAACCCAGCATACAGCAGCCTGCCTGCTTGCCTGGCGCCACGACCTTTGACAAAAGAAGCAAGGCGCCATGGTCAGGCCCCAACCCCACCCACGGCATGCGCTCTATTCAATCTTAATCTCCTCTCTCTCCCTGCCTGCCTCCCTCTCTCTCTGGGGGGCCTCTTCCAACACCGCCTTTGTCTACGCAGCCTACTACAGGTGGCGCATTCGTCCGAGATGACGACTCGCCTGCCTCTGGTCTCGGTGGGAGGTGGGGGGGGGGGGGGGGGGGGTTCGGGCCTGGCCTCGAGGAACAAAAGATCGAGGCAGGCGGGTGTGGGTAAGAGGTGGCGTCTGCAGATGCGGCAACGTCGGCCGGGCGGGTGCCGTATGTACCCGGCAGGCAGGCCACAGGCAGGCGGCAAGCTAAGCTAGAGTGCCACGCGGGTCTAGCCGGCCTACCGTAGCCCAGCCTGACCTCGAGTGTACCCGAATGGGGCCGGAGCAAGGATGGATGGACGTTCGTTCGCCTCCTCGTCGACGGCCGAGGATCCCCACTTGAACGGCGCGCGCAAAACAAGGCAAGCCATCAGGTAGGTAGGCCCTGCCGTCATTCCTAGCCTGCCTGTCTCTTGGCCTGCGATACGTGGTCAGCACCGCAAGCAAAAGCAATGGTTGTTGGGCAGCGGTCGAGCGGGAGAAGGGGCGAAGACGAAGACGAAGGCAAAGGCAGACCAGACCACGGCCAGGCAGGAAGCATGGCTTGCAGCGGGTACTTTTCCCCCATCAGGAGGCTGGCTGAGGCAGGCAGGCCAGAGAGCCGGATCGGTGGCTGGGCTTCCATGCATTCATGCTCGGGGGCTTGCGCAGCGGTGGATCTGCGCTTGCCAAAAGGTGCCGCCGCCGAGCAGCCTAGCCTAGGCTGCTGAGGCTGAGGCTGGATAGGAAGGGTCGGGACCATGGTTACGTTCGTCGCCACCACTACTGACCGACGATCGCAGACAGGCAGGGGCCTCTTTGGTTCCCACTAACTACTCGTCAGCGCACGCCACGCCACGCCACACCACGCCGCGCCACCGCCAGGCCCGCCACGCCGTGTGGCTGAAGATGTACGGACGTACGTGTGCTGCCGGCGCTAGCTAGCCTGCTGCCAGGCCAGGCCAGGCCAGGCCAGGCCAGCCCCTGTACCGGCGTGCCTGTACCTGGTCATCGGTAGCATTGGAGCCGCCGCCGCCGCCCTCCCGTCAGCCCAGGTAGGCTGCCACCTCGTCCCGTGGCCGTCCGTCTCGACTGGTTTGGGGCCCGTCACCACCGCCTCGCCAGTCGCCACCCCGCCCGTGCGTTGCAGGCGGTGATGCGATGATCGATATCGACACAACCTGCTCCTGCTTGCCTCTCTCCCTTTGGCTCTCGACGTGCTGTCCTGCCCCCAAAAGCTAAGAGGCCGGTCTAGACTCTGTCCTCGCGCCTGCCGTGACGCCACGATGTCTTTCAGCGCACCGCCTAGAAGCCCGACCTAGAACAGGCCGGGAGTCAGAGCGTAACCTAGCCTTACCAGGCCGCCCAACTCTCTCTGGCTGCGTTGACCATGAGCGGGTTGCTTGTTTGAGCAGCTAGGATCCCAACGCAGCCAGCGGCTGGCTGGGCACGCTGCGCCGCAGTGCGTGCGTGCGTGCGTGCGTGTCAGATTGATCTCCAACCTATAGCCTCCTGCCTGGTCCCGGCTGCAAACGACGACAACAGCCGGTGCAGTCTGCGGTCGGTCCCATAAACGTCAACGCGAGTGCGCGTGCGCGGGAAGAGATCGACACCGCCGTAAACTCGCGCCAACAAGCAAGCAAAGCAAAGCAAGCGTGCGTATGTAGCATGGCCACGGCCTCTTTCTTCGACAACCACACATCGACGGCCGGTACGGTATGCTACGCATGGTAGCCAGCTGGTTGTCAAGGGGCACTCGTCCCGGTGTGAGCAGGCCAGGCTGGATCGGGCCAGCAGGAAACGTCGGACCCGGCGAGCGACGATGCGAATGCGATGCGGTGCGATGCGATGCTGCCATGGCGAGGGGCCAGACCTCTTTTCAAAGGAGGTGACGCCCCACGAGACGCTGCGATGCATGCATACCATGCCATGCCACACGCATGCGCTGTCTGACTGCCTGCCTGCCTGCCTTGTCTGCACATTCGCGCGCCCGGCTCCCTGACTCCTCCATCCCGAGTAGTAGGCCTGCTTGTCTTGCTCCTGTGCTGTGCTGACGCTTGCTGGCTCCCGGATCATCTCTCGAGGTAGAGGCAGGTGCAAAGACAGGCGGCGGGGATTAAGGTTTCCATTCAGGGGGGCTTACAGGCCAGGCCAGGCAGGCCGAACCATCGACGTCGCCGCGAGTTGGGATGCCTGCCTGCCTACCTCTGCCTCGCCAAGTGAGAGGATGTTTGGCACGCCGTGACATCGACAGACGGTTCGGAGCGGACACCATCCGACCGACCGGCTGGCCAGCCAGCCAGCTTGCTGCTTGCTTGCTTGCTTGCTTGATCCTCGGCGTCGGCCGGTGCTGGATGCGGCCCGCACCGGCATACTCGAAGCAAGCTGCAAGCCAGCTGCTGCGCTGCCTGCCTGCCTGCCTGCCTGCGAGCCGCCGCCGGACCCACGCTTCGGAGCGTTCCGAAACGGCCCAAGGAAAAACTAGGGTCCAGCACCGTACCGCTCTCACGCCCACGACGGCGAAGACGACGACGACGACGACGACGACTTGCAAGACCGCCGAGGCAGAAGAGGTGATGAGCGGGCGGGGCAGGGGTGTGAGACAGCCCCCGCGCCCCTAAGCGAGCAGCAGCAGCAGCAGCGCCAGCCTGTCCCCTCTTGCCCCGGCCCGCGGCGACGATGGCCCACCACTCAACCTCTGACTCTCGACCTTAACTTGGCGACGTTTCCCTGCCTGCTAACGGGCGCAGCGTTACGTTCTATCTCTTGTCGAGACAGAGCCAGAGCTACGTACGGCTCTCGCAAACGATGGCCTGGCTTGCTTTTTTTCGTCTCCAACCTTGAGCCCAACGCTCGGCGGGGCGCGCGCGAGGCTGGCAGCAGCTAGGAGGGAGGAGGTTCGGTCGGAACCCGCGGCGTCATGTACCGCCCTGTGCAGCAAAGTCAGGCACCCACGCACGTCCGCTCGGGCGTGGGCGATGCCCTGGGCCTGGCCCCTGGCCGCCCCTGCCTTTTGTCTGCCTGCCTGCCTGCCTGCCTGCCCCCGCCTGCCCTTGTCTGGGAACGGGCGTGGGCGTGTGGCTGTCCGCGTATGGGGCGCCGCGGTCTGGGGCTCCTCTGCGTAGCTGGCGCTGGGGCTGCCGCTGCCGCTGTTGGGTTTCTTCTTGGCTGCCCGCCTTGCCCGGCTACCTACCCTCTTGACAGGCTGCCCGCGCCCACGCACAGCCTGGCGGGCGCCACCTTCCATCGGGCCCCTAGCCTCTTGA